GAAGGTAGAAAAGGAAAAAAGAGAAACCTTAGTCTAAAACACAACACATTCCTGTGAGCAACACCATCCCTGGAAAGCAAATCTAGGTCGGTCCCATTTTGTCAGACACAAATATCTCCCACAGGGAAATCTCACATGAAATTAAGAGTCAGTGCACATCATTTCTCCCAGACTCTTCCAGTTGCAGAGATAGAAGACTGCACAGGACAATCTCTTCCCAGCTCTGCACCAGAGAGGAGGTAACTGCCTGCTCTGAGCCCTCTGAAACAGGAGGAGAAACAACTGCTTTTTGGTGCAGAAAACCCAGCCACGTCTGGGCCCACAGCATGATGACATGGCTGGCTTCCCACTGCTGATCAGCAGCAAACACCAACAAAATCATAAAAAATAATGAAAAAAGGAAAGTTATAAATCGCTTTGCTAGTGTTGTAACCCAGAAGGTTTTAGCATACTCTTTTTAACAAGTGAATTGCCCTTGAAATCAGTTCTCTTTTGGCCAGTGAGGTCAGGAGAGCAATCTTTTGTTGTGGAGAAAAGCCTAAGTGACCAACCTGGTTGCAGTAGCATAAGGATTTTAAGTTACTCATAAGCTGGTTTAAGTGTTTTGGAAAATACAAAAGTAAGAGAGCACCTAGTACTTTAAAAACACCCTCCTATTTCGTCATTCAGTTACCATGCTGGATATTTATTCTTAATAAGCACTCCAGAACTGCTGGTGGGAACAGCTTAGCAACCCAAAAATCAGGGCAAACCTCTTGCAAACATCTTTTAGTCCAGAAGCAAGGCACAGGCTGTGCCACAGACACTCGGGATCCCCTTTGGGAGGTAAGCTCTGCCCCGTGATCCCGTGCAAGCCGACGGGTAGCGAGGGAAGGAGTGGGTCCTGCAGAGGAGGCTGCTCAGCACCCTGCCTGTGGTGGGAGCACCTGGGGACAGCCCTGCTAGAGACAAACTGCTTGGACAAACGTGTGCTCAGAGCCACCCCAGGTGAAACATGAGGCGTCTTTAATAAATAAAACAATTTCTCTCAGTGGCATCAAGGAGCTTCTGGTTTTAAAGCTTTGCCAAACTATCAGCCCGGCCTTCCCCTGAGGAAAGAAATGGGCCTTTGAACTCCTTGTGCAAATTTATACTTTTCTAAGTGCAGCTTTTTAGAAATGGCTATAGCCAGGGGTGCAATTAATTCAATTCTTTCCAGAAGATCTTTAGGTCTGTAAAACTTATGTATTATTTAAGCCTCACAGCTAAACCACGAACGCTATCAAGGTCCAGCTTTTGCTTTTGGAAATTCCAGAAAAAAATCCTGCAACACCTTCAAAATCCCTAGATTCCCTGGCTACTAAGAGACCTTTCATTTCTGCAGTGAGTTGTATGGTACTTGACTCTCTCCATCAGCAGGGTCCTTGCTGTGCCTAGCCTCAGATTTCTACAGCAGCATCAAGGGAACATCATCTGTGGTAAGAGCCTCAGCCAGGCCATTTTCTCCTGTATCCACACTTCTAGCAAGACTCAGGTCTTCCTAAGGACGAGGCAGTAGAAGGGAGCAGACGTTCCTTTGCAAGCTGGGTAACTGAAATCAGCTGGATGAGGAGCCTATATATACAGGGATAGGTGCTATTGCAAACAAGAAATAAGTCTACTCTGTGGTTATATAAACATTTTTTTTAAGAACAAGCTATCTTGACTGAGGAAGTACCAGCTTTAAACACCCAATACAATGCATCAGCTTTGCCACTGGCCCATATTTCACCTTTAGGAGAGGCTTGAGGGAAACCAGCTCTCTGGAGGAAAACAGAAACAGCTTCTCCCTGGCAGTCTTACATCTTCAAACACTGGGGAAGTGTGTGTAAAAACGAGGTTAGAGCCATTGCCATTATTATCAGCAATAATGCCTGTGGTCTTCCTTGCATTCCTGAGATCTAAATAGTTTAACGAGCAAGTGCCACCCAGCAGAAAGTCATGGGCCCAAGGGAGTTATCTCCTGTTCAGGGTGGGATCCCAGAGGTGGTCCTCCTCCCCTCAGCAACACGTGGCTCTAGTTAGACAGCAAGTGTGTGCCGAAACCCTTCAAGCAAACGCCGAACCTACGACGTGATCTACATTTTCCAATGCCAGCCAGTTAGTCCAAAAAACTTGCCTTTGAAGAAATACAACCTGGATTTGCTGCTCACCAGCCATTAAACCCATTGAGTATATCCAAAGAGAACAGTGCAACACAGAAACTGACTGGATGGTGTTCCCACCCAGGAAGTCATCTGAAGAGCTCACCAGTTCACAGCTCCCAGGAGGCTGACTTGGTAGGATCACTGATACCACTTTGCAGAGTCCTAGCTCTGTCTGGTTTAAAACAAGAACAGATTTTGTAGAAATCTGCATTATTCCATGTTCCAAGTGCTCTAGCTGTCAGTCAGCTTTCCACAAGTTATTACTTCTGTGTATTCAGAGCAGTTTGGGAACTGAAGGTTGTCTTGTCACTTCCACACTCCATAAACAGTACAGATGCTGGAATATGGTAATATTTACTCCTGTTTTGCCATCTGCTTACATATGCACATAAAACATGTGACTCCCAGAATGTGGAGCAGCAGAATAACAGCTGCAGCATTTCATCACAAGACAAAGGTACAAAAATCAATACACATATTTTCTTTTTAATGAAAAAGGTACTGTTGCACAAAAGAAAGACTACATCAAGTAAAAAACAAATAAATTTAAAAAGTCTTTTCAACAGAGTATATACTCCATAGCTTTAGCTCTTACTGAAGTCAGTGTCTAAAAAAAAAAATAAATCTAAAAGCCTCCCTGCAAATCCCTACTATCTTGGTTATGCAATCAGTAAACAACAACTCCAAAACCAGAGGACTGAGTTGTTTATCTTTAGAAGAAAAGATCCTGACCAGCTGTAGGTCAGGTTGCAATAGCATGAACCTCCCCAAACACCCTCACACCTTGACATACCTTAGAAAAAACCCAACTTTTAGTCTTGATTTCTGCACTGAAGTTCTGTTACACTCCTCCCACACGGCCCCTGAGCAGAACCCGAGGACAGAAGCAGCCAGCCACTGGGCAACACCAGCAGTTAAACACCAGCAGGGAACACAGCAGCTAAAGCCCCCAGCCACAAACCCCTCCTCACACAGGTGAGGCTTCCTACTCAGCTGTTTATGTTAAAGGCAGTGCTGAAGTCAATCCGAAGGCTGGGAGTGTGTTTAAATAACAATCTGAGTAAAGATCAGCATGGCTAACAGTGTAAAGACCCTCTGCTTCCCTCCACCAGCAAATTAATCCAAACACTGAGTTGGTGTTTAAAAAAATAGACCACGTCCACAAACAGGCTCCTAGCCATACAGGGAAGTGTCTAAGACAATTTCACCATACCACCTTTTAAGAATGGAATATACAGAAGTAATTTCCTGAAAGGGCAGATCTCAGCACAACTATCTCCAGACTTCAGTTCCTTCCCTTTGGAAAAAAAAGCTGATAAAGACAGGTGAACTGAGTGGAGGGCTGATGCCTCTGCTGGTCTCCAGCCCACATAAAAATCAGAAATTCACTCTGCCTGCTCTTAGGACACAGATTCTTTGGATATTGAAGAGTTTCTGGGTTTTACTTCCTCAGGGCATGGGAAGGACTGTTGTGAGTTGGGGGGAGGAGGTGTGTCTGTGTGTCAGAATGAGAACATTTGAAACAGTTGCATCATGTTTCACAGGAACTTCAAGCTCTCTATGGCCAGAGAAGGACATCAGAGCTGGAGAAATATTTCTGCCCCAGCTGGCTGTTGTTACAAAGAGCACTCTCAGCTTGTTAGTTTACCAAGCAGGGCATTTGGTTTACACTCAACAGAAGGGTAAGCATGGACCCCACAGGCACTGCCTTTTACAGCTTGCACCAGTGCAGTGCCTCTGCTACCACATTCCAACAAGCCATCTCCTTGTTGAACTGTACTTTTCACAATGGTTTGGGACACTAAAGCTGCCTACAGCCAGTACATTCACCCAGAAAGGGTCATACTTACAGTCTCTCAAAACTGTATAAATATGAACATATTTTCTGTGTCTCCCCCTCAAATGGAGCTGCTGTATCCCAGGCCATGGCAGACTAGTGCCTAGGAGATCCCAGGGGCAGGAGGCAGATCTCAGCCCGAGCTGCAGCCACCCCACCACATCCCTGTGTGGAGACTCTCTCCCCTGGCTAAACCCTTTCTGGTTGAAGAGTGATTTAAGACATTCAGGGAATGAAGATAAGTTCTTACAGGACTGTACTTCTCTCAGTCTAGAGAGGTGGCAGCTGAACTCACAGCAGCTACGAAAGAGAACGTTCAGTGTCGTGTGTGACTATGAAGGAATTAAAAGACTCATTTTACAGTGCATTTTAATTAAAAGTTCATTATAAGAATTTTCTTTTAAGAACAGCATACTACATATTAATGGAAATATGTAACTTTATCCTACAAATGGGACTGTCACCATATTATTCTTACAATTCAAACATATGAAAAATAAAATATGATATTTAGCTTTAGAAATTCCCCATCTCCCTCCCCCCCTTAAATATTTTTTCTTTTAAATAACAAAAGTATTAACTATTTCCCAATACAGTGCATTTGCTATCTGCGAGCCACAAACCAAGTAGTCACATCAATGCCAGGGAAACAGGAACACTCTTTGCAAAATACCAAGAGGAAATGATAAAAAAAGTCAGCCCAGTGCTTACAGAGGAGACAGTCAACGAGAACTGAAAAGCCAGCACATTTTCATATTACATAGGACCATTATAATAACATAGAAAACAGTGCAGAAGACTTATGCTGGAAAAATATATAGCAATTTTCAGCAAGCACAAACTGAACTTTGGCACTTGCTCATAAAAAGGCCTTTCAAAGCAAACCAAAATGGAAATTCACTTAATCACAGCTTGTATATTCAAAAAAAGACATTGAGTAAAGCAAGAGAAACAATAGAGAAAAGTTTACAGGCCAGGTCACTACAAATTCAGTACATTCAGCCTACAGAGAATACAAATACAATCTCTCAAGCACCCATCTACACTGGGATCCTGGCTAGCGAGACACAGGCTTGGGGCCAGAACCTTACCTGAAGCATCTTTATCTCAGTGGAGCTAGGCTGGTGACCCAGCCCTTTCTAGGGCTAGAAGAGCACGTCTCCAGATACATTGCCTTCTCACCATAAAATATGGAATTCTAATCAGCAAATTAAAAAGTAAGACCCTTGCACTCAAGACAGTGGCTGTTTTGCTCTACCCATAGCTGCACCATAACCACTGTCACATAAGGATTAAGTGATTTCTTTAAAAAGGGCTAGAAAAGATGGCTTCAATTCAAAGGGGAGACAATACACTGGAAGGAAGGATTCACATTCAGCCTGTTACTCTTAGCACAGTGTCTGCACCTGCACATTGTCAGGAGTACTACAGTTAACATGTGCACAGCCATGCCCCCTTCCTGCCAGAACTGATGTGCTGAACTCAGCCTAACTGAAAGGCTGCTCCAGGCCAAAGCGTGTTTTCGGACCAGGCCAGGAGAAAGCAAGGACTGCTCAGCCAAGAAGTGCTTCTTCCATTGTCAGGCACAATGCCCCAAGCTAGCAGCTATGTTTGCACTGAGGCAGCTTACTCAATTTTTTTTTTTGTTCTTTTTGGAGTTAAGATTGGGGAAGGGCAGAGAGAAAAATAAGTGCTTTAGATTGCACAAAAGATTGTCCTACTAAAAGGGGCACTTGAACAGGAAATGATTGCAGCTATAAATCTAGCAGACGCTCT